TCACTAATATATTGGGTGGTCAGACTTCTAGCTAATCATTTTATTTATCATTATTTTGAAAATAAAATATGCAGAATTTTTCTCTCAGAAAATATAATTCTTTCTTCCTTTTAATACTTCTTTTATCTAGTTAACTTTTAATTACATAGAAGAAATCAGCTTTGGACCACTGCCTTAAAAAGGGTTCTTCTAATCACCTCACATCCTACAATCTGCTATACTGTATTTGAACACAGTGAATTTCTTGTGTATACTTTCCCAGATTAGCATTAAAAATAGTTCATAAAAAAATAAAAATAAAAATAGTTCATAAAGACTAAAATGCATGCCATTCTCTATCTCTAGAATATAATCTCCATGAAGAAAAAGAGTCAGGTCTGGGTTGTTCAGGTAAATATCTGCTGATGTGTAGTGTATGCAGTAAATGCTCAAAGAATATTTGTAGACACAGTTAATAAATAACAAATGCTTTTTGAATGAGAAAGTAGCACTGAAAAGAAACTGGATCTCCAATGTCATTAAGTCATGTTTTATTTTTTCTCTTAGGATCTGGCTGCTATTCTTGCCAAGAAAAGTGGATTGGCTACCAATGCAACTGTTATTTTGTTTCTGATGAATTAAAAACATGGAAAGACAGTAGGGATTTTTGTGTTTCTCATAATTCCAGTCTACTTCAGATACAAACCAGAAATGAACTGGTAAGTATTTAATTCTTATTTTCTACATTTTATTTGACCCAGAAAAATATATTATCTATACTTTGATTCAAGTCTTTAATCAGATAGCAAATGGATGATTATATTTGAACTAATTTCCTATACTTTGAAACCATCATAAAATCGAGCCAAACTTTCTCTCAGGTTTACATTATAGGAGTGCTGACAGATAAAGTATAAGAAACTCTTTAGAGAGTATTCAAAGAAGAAATAATAGGTCATTATTTTTATTCCAACAACTTTTAACTTTTAGTTCTTTAAGTGAATTTATAATTGATTTTGTAAATATGCAACATTTGCTATTATTCGGGTATAATGTGAAATGAACATGTAGAATATTATAAAATAATAACCCAACTCTTAATAAAAAGTTAGCTTCCTGGAGAAACTGCTGTAAAGATTTATCCCTCCAGATGCAGTTGATTTGGGATCAGATTTGATTATTGATCCCATTTGAAGGAAGTGTTCCATGAAAACTCACACCCTTTATGACATCTTTCATTCCTTCAAGAAGTGAGATTTTTGTAGGGTTTTTTTTTTTGGCCTCCATAAATGAATGGGTTTGGTGAATGAGAAATAGTAGGCATGTGACTGACTCTTTTTCCCAAATTAGAAGTTAAAAATGATTTTAGTGTGTATAGTTGAAAAACTGATGCTGGACACTGGCACCGCTAAATGTACATGACTCCTAGAGTAGATTCTAAATAGATTAATATGTTGGTCTCTGTTTCCATGCAGAATTTTATGAAGTTCAGTACCAGTTTTTACTGGATTGGGCTTTCTTACGGTGAAGAACATGATGCCTGGTTGTGGGAGAACAAATCTACTCTCTCCCAAGATCTGTAAGTTTGTGGTATCAAAACCCTTTTTTCTGTTCTTTTTGAGTTTATCCTTGGATCTGATCAGAGAGTTGAATATCCAGGACCATTATAACTAAGATATCCTATTTTGGGCATGAAACTATAAAAAAGAGAATAGATACAACATAATAAAATTTTTAACTGCATCCAAAACATCCAAGTGTTTGCTCAAGAGCTTTCAACATATGATTTTGTTTCCTGTGTTGGTACAAGCGCTTGGATATGTATGCATATGTACAGATTCTCACATGTATGAAAGCAGTCCAGAGAAAACAGTGTCCATTATTTTTCTTATTCTGGTGGAGATCGATATTCTCAGCATTGGTCAATGTTTCAAACATTCTGGGTTTATTTCCAGTATATTTGTAAGCTTCAAATCTCATTTTCATTCTTAAATATGAGATTTAGCAGCATCATACATTGAGAAATTTTATAATCTGATTTTTTCCTGGACTAGACTTAGTTAATACATTTTTAAACAACATAGAAGCAAAGAATAACACATATCAAAATCATTAAAAACAACAATAAAACCAAAAAATCTCCAACCTCAGTGCTATTGATTATTGAGCATACTGTGTTTTGGTAACATTGTACTCTGAAATTGTGAAAAATGACTTGAATGAAGAAGATAATGACTCAAGATGTATGTAATATCTCATTCAAATGCTTTTAAATGTTCCCTAATCCTATCATTTAGTAAGAACCGCATCTTTGAATGTTTTCATTTCCTGTTCTTGTATATTAAAATTTTCTTTTTCATTGCAGATTTCCTTTCCCTAAATCTGTAAATCCAAAGAACTGCATGATGTATGGACCAGGAGGAAGGATTTTGGATGGACACTGTGGAAAGAAGTTTCGTTATATCTGTAAACAACAGCTTATTTAGATGTTTCTTGGGGCAGATGTGTTGTGCAATGGAGATTAAGTATTACTTAGAATGGTTACAAATTGTATTACTTACCTCTGGGATCTTTAAAATGTTCCAAATTGTGTTTTATCAATCATATAATTTTCATGTATTTGAAAATATATATTTAAATTTTTTATCTCTATGCAATTATGTTAGTTCTATCTATACAACATAACAATAACTAAGACAGTATGCCTAATTCATCAACATATATAGTTATAATTTTAAAATTTTGCTATGTGTTTTAAAATTGATGAAACTTGTATACCTACACCTGAAATTATAGTCAAGATAAATAATTTAATGAATGTTCAATGTATATGGTATGGATTCAACAATTTATGCATCTATTTTTGGAACTTCTCTCTGCTGAAATTTAAATAAAACTTAATTCAGGCCAAACAATACATATTAACATCATATTAGTTCTTTGAATGGTGTGCTAAATTGAAAAGTCCCATCCTCATCTTTTTTCCTCTGAAAGTAAAAATAATTTTAGTGTTGGTTTTAAGTTTTTGATGGATATCTATTCATCTATATATTCTTATTTAGACCTGAAAATGGCATATAGTAATTTCTTCATATGTGTCATAAGGGTTAAGTAACACATTTGTGTGTCTTCTCCTGATGTTACCAAGTACTGCAGAGCAATTGGAAAGTTATACCCAAGTATGTGATCTTACAATATTGCCTTCACATTTTCCCAGGGGAAGGGGAACCCAAGCTCTGATCACATGAATATAGTCTTTTTGTTGTTGTTTTTTCAAGTATCTTTCTTGCCTTATGCCTATCTGACAGTAAAAAAAAAAGCCACTCTTACATGTGCATTTAAGATTTCAATTTCTAATCAATCCCCCAAATCTTTTCATAAATGGCATGTGATAAAATATTGGACATTTAGTATTTAGGAGGACAGGGAGCAGGCTTTTTTAATGAGGGTTTCTGAGTGGGTCAGTGAAGGGAAGGGCACACGATGAGTTGTGATGCTTGTGACCTGAATAGATTTTTTCCAACCTCAGAAATATCAAAACCCAATTCCCTCTTTTAAAAAATAACTGTTGAATATATATCTAAAGAAATTTTTACTGACATCTCTATTTGTTCTCTTCTTTTGTATTTCAATTAAATGATTATAATTAAGAGCTCAAGGTTGATTTTCAAAATACAAAGAGTCAGGAAGAGATAAGAACCTCTCATGTTTTACTTCTCAAAATTCAAATATAATAGTAATACAACTTGAACTCTTCATTCTTATATGAAGATTGACTTAGGAAAAATGCACTTAGATTATTCTATGAAAAACACAGGATAGCTGTAACATCTTTCACATATTTAACTTGGACATGCATTGCACTTTCTACATATTTAAAATGTTTTGCCTTTGCTGTCTATATCATTTTTGTAACACTATAATTTTAAAATTGCATTTATAAAGAGCAGTATAGACAAGCTTATTAAGAAAACAGTTTTCTGATCCAATTGTCCAATCAATCTGTCCTCTTACCACACAAAAAAATTTCCTCTGAGTATTTTGCTTGTTTGTTTTTCCTACGGAGAAAAAACATAGGAAATATATTTCTACATAGGATATGTATAGATGTATGTTTATTTTTTATGCAGGAAATAAGTGAAATTATGAAAATTCTATTTTCGTAATTTTTGTCAAGGATGAATATCAACTGTGTTCTTGTAGCCACATTCAAGCATGGGTTGAAATTGCTGTTCTAACATCATCACTCTATGAATTTTACATAGTTTAATCTTTTTTTTTTTACTGAGAATTCATGAACATTTATTACAATATCACAAGAGCAATGAGGAAACAGAAGGTCTTAAATGTTACAGATTATATCTAATTTCAGAGAATAATCTATTTGAAAGTTGTCTCCACTGAGGAAGGAAAATTCCTGTTGCCTTCTAAAGATAGCTCAGAGGTTTTCTTCAGCTCCCATATCATATCCATATCATTAGCTCATATATCCCATATCATTTCAGGTCCCACATCATTTCAGGCTGGGAGCTGACTGAGGTTCAGATAATTAACTCCTTATTGCAAAATTCATACTTAAATTGAAAAAAGTAGGGAAAACCACTAGGCCATTCAGGCATGACCTAAATCAAATCCCTTATGATTATACAGTGGAAGTGAGAAATAGATTCAAGGGATTAGATCTGATAGACAGAATGCCTGAAGACCTTTGGACAGAGGTTTTTGATATTGTACAGGAAGCAGTGATCAAGACCATCCCCAAGAAAAAGAAATGCAAAAAAGCAAAATGGCTGTCTGAGAAGGCCTTACAAAGAGCTCTGGAAAGAAGAAAAGCTAAAGGCAAAGGAGAAAAGGAAAGAATATCCATTTGAATGCAGAGTTTCAAAGAATAGCAAGGAGAGATAAGAAAACCTTCTTCAGTGATCAGTGCAAGATTAGAGAACACTTCAAGAAAATTAGAGATACTAAGGGAACATTTTGTGCAAAGATGGGCTCAATAAAGGACAGAAATGGTATGGACCTAACAGAAGTAGAAGATATTAAGAAGAGGTGGCAAGAATACACAGAAGAATGACACAAAAAAGATCTTCATGACCCAGATAATCACGATGGTGTGATGACTCACCTAGAGCCAGATATCCTGGAATGCAAAGTCAAGTGGGTCTTAGGAAACATCACTACTAACAATGCTAGTGGAGGTGATGGAATTCCAGTTGAGCTATTTCAAATCCTAAATGATGATGCTGTGAAAGTGCTGCACTCAAGATGCCAGCAAATTTGAAAATTCAGCAGTGGCCATAGAACTGAAAAATGTCAGTTTTCATTCCAATCCCAAAGAAAGGCAATGCCAAAGAGTGTTCAAACTACCACACAATTGCACTCATTTCACATGCTAGCAAAGTAATGCTCAAAATGTTCCAAGCCAAACTTCAATAGTACATGAACCATGAACTTCCAGATGTTCAAACTGGATTTAGAAAGGCAGAGGAAACAGAGATCAAATTGCCAACATCTGTTGGACTATTGAAAAAGCACGAGAGTTTCAGAAAAACATCTACTTCTGCTTTATTGACTATGCCAAAGCCTTTGACTGTGTGGATCACAAAAAACTATGGAAAATTCTTAAAGAGATGGGAATACCTGACCACCTGACCTGCCTCCTGAGTAATCTGTATGCAGGTCAAGAAGCAACAGTTAGAACCAGACATGGAACAACAGACTGGTTCCAAATCGGGAAAGGAGTATGTCAGGCTGTATATTGTCACCCTATTTATTTAACTTATATGCAGAGTACATTATGAGAGATGCTGGATTGGATGAAGCACAAGCTGGAAACAAAATTGCTGGGAGAAATATCAATAACCTTAGATATGCAGAAGACACCACACTTATGGCAGAAAGTGAAGAGCTANGAAGAGCTGACTCATTTGAAAAAGACCCTGATGCTTGGAAAGATTGAAGGTGGGAGAAGAAGGGGACAACAGAGGATGAGATGGTTGGATGGCACCACTGACTTGATGGACATGAGTTTGAGCAAGCTCCAGGAGTTGGTGATGGAAGGGAGGCCTGGTTGCTGCAACCCATGGGGTCGCAAAGAGTCAGACATGACTGAGCAACTGAACTGATAATTTCAGGGCATTATCATGTAAAGTGCTTGCTTACAGGAAGGTTACTATTCACCCATGGCAAAGTGTCCTTCTTACTATTGGCCTCATAATATTAATTACATTCAATTCAGGACCATCTGACTCATTTCATTTTTATTATTTTTTTTTTCTCCCACTCTTACCTGCATTATGCTTTCTTCATCGAGAAAATCTCTTTGTACTCCTTGGGATGGGAACAGTTCCTTTTATAGAAAGGTTTTGCACAAAAATTTTGTTTCTTTCTGATGAAAAGTCACTTATTTTTATTTTGCTTTCTGCTTTTTGCTCTGAAATGGGCTGATTTACATGGAAGGATCTAGGTGAATGACTATCTCAGTGTTGGATATCAAGCAAAGGTAAGAGGGTAAGGAAATGTGTAAAAAACACACACTGTAACAAAACTGTATTTCCATAAGTCAGTTCAGTCTTTCTTCATTTCATCCTGTTACTCTGAATGTGTTACTCATTACCCTGAATTCATTACCCTGAATGCATATAATATGGGTTATGTATTGGTGGCTAAGAAGTTATGTTATATTTAGAAACCTAAAACCACACATATTTATTATCTCTCACTATCTGTGGATCTGGAACTGGACACAGCTTAACTATAGTCTTTGTTCAGGCCCTCACTAGATTGAAACCAAGGTCTTGGCCAGGTGGTATTCTCACCTAAAACTCAGAGTCCTCTTCCAAGCTCAATGAAGCTTTTGAAAAAATTTTGTTCTTCGTGTTTGTAAGACTAATACCCATAGCTCACAGAAGGCTCCTCTCTGCATAGATAGGCACACCAGGGGTTACTTTCTTCTTCAGGACAAGGAATAGCACCCCTGACTCCTCTCTTTATTATGTCTATGTCTCTTTTGGGCTTCCCTGGAGGCTCGGATGGTAAAGAATCAGCCTGCAATGTGGGAGACCTGGGTTGGATCCCTGGGTTGGGACAATCCCCTGTAGGAGGGCATGGCAACCCACTCCAGTATTCTTGCCTGGGGAATCCCCACAGACAGAGAAGCCTGGTGGGCTGCAGCCCATGGAAAGAGTTGGACACGACTGAGTGACTAAGCACAGCACTCTTTTAATTGTTCCCCCGATAAGGTCAGGTCTCCCCATAACAATCTCTCTTTTGGTTATCTGAGAGTTGACTAATTTGGAACTATAATTCATCGGAAAAACAGCTTTACTTTGCTATTTAATGGAATCTAATTACAGCAGCATTCCATCATATTCACAAATCCCCCCTGTAATTTAGTTGGAAGGGATTATATAGGTGCCCACCAGAGAGTGAATATTCTGAGGGTCATTTTAGAGCTCTGCTACCACAACAATTTATCCCCCAAAACTATGCTGTAGCTGCTACTCCATAGTTTACTGTTTATATACTGCCCTTTGATTCCTTATAACTAAGGATTTAGTTCACATGTGTCATGATAAGGAATCTTTTTAATTGCAATATATTATCTCTAAGTTCCTCTATTGTTGTTGTTGTTGAGTCGCTAAATCATGTCTGACTCTTTTTTGACCCCATAGACTATAGCCAGTCAGGATCCTCAGTCCATGGGGTTTCCCAAGTAAGAATACTGGAGTGGGTTGCCATTTCCTTCTCCAGGGGATCTTCCCAATGTAGGGATTGAACCCACATCTCTTACATTGGCAGATCAATTCTTTACCACTGAGCTGCCATGGAAGTGACATCTAAATCTGTTTAATGAAAATAGAGTTATTTTACAGCTGGACTCTTTGCTTACCTCCAGAGAGACTTGAGAATTGTTTTTTGGCTGTTGGCC